CTGGCGAGGGTGTCTGGGTCCTGGCAGGGTGGCTGGGTCTGGCGAGGGTGTCTGGGTCCTGGCAGGGTGGCTGGGTCTGGCAGGGCATCTCACCCTGAAGAAGGGCTGTTTTTTCACATCCTCTGCATCCCTCTCACTGGATCCCAACCTCCGCTCTGGATTCCGCCGCAGCAGCTGTAGGGAGAGAACACTGTTTCAGGGTCTGCCCCTCCCAAGCCCCAGGTTCCCGCCCCAGGTCCACAGAGGCTCTCCCACGTTGGGGGATCCTCACCCTTCGCATGATGCCGATGGCTTCAGCTGACAGAAAGCGGGGGTAGCGAACCTCATCATTGACGATGCTGTCGAATACCTCCTCCTCATCGTCCCCTGGGAACGGGGACTGGGGACAGGGAGGGCCAGGTGAAGCCAGCCCAGCCCACCTGAGCCCTCTGCGCTTTTACATGGTGGTGTTTTACATGAAAGGTGGTCAATACTCCCGTTTTACAGATGCGGAAACTGACGCCAAAGAGCAAAGCCATGTGCCCTGAACCACACAGCACATGTTGTGGAGGCAGATTTCGACCCCCCACCCTTGGACACATGGGAGTTCCATTCCGTGAGATCCTAGGGATATATAGGGTAGGGGGAGCCGGTGGCCTCACCTCCCCAACCAGCATCTCGTAGAGCAGTACGCCCAGCCCCCACCAGTCCACAGCCCGTGTGTACGATGTGTCTGTCAGCACCTCGGGTGCCAGGAACTCCGGGGTCCCACAGAACGTGCTGGTCCGGTCCCCAAAGCCCATCCCTGGTTATGGAAGGGTTCTGGCTCTAGCCCAGCTGGGGGTGGGGGCAGGGTGGGGCAAGCCCATACTGGGTGGAGTCCCCAAAGGCCAGTCCCTCACCCACCCAAACCCAGCCTTCCACGGCCCCTCACCCTCCTTGCAGAGCCCAAAGTCTGCAATTTTGACATAGCCCTCGGTGTCCAGAAGCAAATTGTCCAACTTCAGGTCCCTGTGGGGGTTGTGGGGTATAAAAGGGATAAGTAAGGCCAGGTCCTGCCTGAAGCCAGAGGGTCTCCAGTGGGTCAAGAGCAGGTACACACACACACATACACACACACACCTACCTGTAGACAATCTTGTGTTCATGGAGAAACTGCAGGCCCAGCACCACACAGGCCGAATAAAAGCTGCAGAGAGAGGCTGGTGTGAGGCGACCAGGCCACCCAACAAGTAGGGCATCACAGAAGCCTGGCTCTCCCAGGAGGCTGAGGGAGGTGGGGCCCGAGGGTGGGAGGATGGGAAAGGGGCTGCAAGGCTCCCAATTCTGAGGCATCGGGTGCTGGCGGGGAAGGGAGGGTGAGCAGGGGGCTGGGCGGGGGTGTCACGGGTGCTGGGGTGGGTCAGGGTGGTGGGCCTCACACTGCGCGGGGCTCAGAGAAGACATCGCTATGGATGTGCAGCATCAGGTCACCGCCAGCTGAGTACTCCATCACAAAGCACACGTGCTCTGGCGTCTGGAAACAGCCGAACAGGTTCACCAGGAAGGGGTGCCCTGCGCTGGTCACAGCTGCCAGGATCCGCTTCTCACACATCAGGCTGGGTGGACAGGGGCCGGGGTCAGAGGCTGCCCCCATCTCCAACGTCCAGAGTCCTCAGTCATCAGGTACTTGGGGAGGGCCTCCTGCAGGCCAGGCCTTTGCTGGGGAGCCTTGGACAAGTTGCTTAGTATCTCTGAACCTTGGCAGTTCTGTCTGCTTAAACGAGCACAGAGAATCCATCCTTTCTCTTGATAATAGCCCATGATCTCCTTTTGGGGAACCACCAGGAGTAAGCATGAGGTCCAGGCTAGTCAGAGTCTCCATCTCCCTAGCTAAGGATTGGTTCAGGGATGGGCAACCCAAGCTAATGGGGCTGTATCTCAGGATTTTTGCTGGAGCTAGTAGAAAAGAAGGACTAAAGCTAGTGGGATGAGCTGCTGGCCTTGGGGGCATTTCTGCCCACACAAAGGGACTGCAAGCAAAGCCCACACAAGGGAAAACAGACCTTACACATGTCCTCTGAGCACCTGGATACAGCCATGCCTGAAGGACTTTTCTAGTCCAGATCAATAAATTCCTTTATTTGCTTAAGCCTATCTGAGTTGGATTCCTGATTAATAAAAGGGTGTTGAGAGGATTGGGGATCTGAGTGCCTCGACCAAGAGCTTACAAGGGCAGGCACTGTGCTGAGTACTTTAGACACATGCACCCTCACTGAATTCACCCAACAATCCTGAAAGGAAGGCATTATTTCCCCCCTGTATAGACTGGGAAGCTGAGGTTTAGAGGCTGAAATGACTTTCCTAGGATCTCCAAGTACATGAGTGGCAGATGTGGGATTTGAACCAGGGTCCCTGATCCCAAAGCAAAAATAGTGTAGTGACACCACTATAAGCAAAGGCTTCAAAGCCTGACTCCTTAGGTTCGCATCCTGGCCCTCTTAGGTTCAAATGTGGCCACGGGAAAATTGCTCAATTTCTCTGTGCCACAAGCAGAATGGGGACAGTAACAGTATTTACCTTATAGGCCTGTTGTGAGGAATAAATCGGTTACTGGATGTAAAGCACACAGTAGGTGCTTTGTAAGACTTGTTATGATTATTTTAAACACTAGCTTACTAAGTGCAAGTGACTGGTCACGGTCATTTTCACAGCAGCCCCAAGGAGGGAAACTCTTCTATTTCCCATTTCCCAGAGAGAGGAGACTGAGGTCCCCAGGGGGCCTGAGCAGGGCTGCCTACCTCTCCACCTCATCTCGGGCTACAATGTCCCCTTTCTTCAAAGCCTTGATGGCAAACAGCTCCCCGCTGGGCCGGAATTCAGAGAGCAGTACCTGGAACAGCAGTGAAGAGGGGTAGGCTTAGGGCCCAGCCCAGGGGGCCGAGGTCTGGACCTCACGACTCCTAGCCTCCCACTCCCCACCCCTCACCTCACCTTCCCAAAGTGACCCCGGCCCAGCACTGCCAGGAACTTGAAATCTTCCAGGGTCAGGGGTGACTTCCTCAGAGGGCTGGGGAGAGAGGGCACTGGTGGGGACTGGGGAGGTGGGAGGGGCTGTGGGAGGGGCTGTGGGAGGGGCTGTGGGAGGGGCATCACCTGCACAGGGCGGGGCCTTGGGTCTCCGAAGGTAGCTCAGGAGTTGGGGGCAGTTCTTGGATTCGAGAACTCTGCAGCAGGGAGAAGAGGTCACAGTACGCAGAGTCGGAGGTCCCCCCAAACCACAGTGACCCCTGATCTGCCTCATCACCTCTGTCCTTACCTCTCCCCCCAACTCACTTCCCTCTAGTCACACTGTTACCTTAACACACCAGGCACATTCCCACCTCAGGGCCTTTGCACAGCTGGTCCCTCTGCTTAGAGGGCTCTTTCCCCAGACACTGCACAGTTCCACCCCCACGTCCTTCAGGTGTCTATCAATGTCACCTTTGCAGGTCAGCTGACCACCTTATTAAATAAAGAACCACCCCCACTGTTTCCCTGCCTTATTTTTCTCCACAGCACTTCACATTCCAAGTATATTTTATCATTTACCTCTTTGTTAGCTGGTATTAAACCTTATGGAACTACTTAACTCTTTATATCACATACATATATAACTTTGAAAAGAATGAAAATTATTTTTTTTAATGGAAAAACAATTTTCTATTTGCCGATCACCTTCATTCTACAAGAAGGTCCTACAGAGTTCTAAATACGGAACCCATTCAAACGGGTATACAGTGGTCCCAGTTCTGCCCCAACCACCCTCCCCAAGCCAGTTAACAATTTCTTGGGTATCTTTCTAGATGTGAAGAGCTCTGGTGGCACAGAGCCTAAGGCATTTGACTGCTAACCAAAAGGCTGGTGGTTCAAACCCACCAGCTGCTCCATGGAAGGAAGATGGGGCAGTCTACTTCTGTAAAGATTTACTGCCTTGGAAACCCAATGGGGGTCGCTATGAGTTGGAATCGACTCGATGGTACCAAGCCTGGTTTTTGAGTTTTTCTAGATATATCCTATATCCACAGAAGCAAAAATGCAGGAAGAGGCCCCGTTTTTCTTAACACCTACAAGCGACAAAGATTCCAATCTTGCACTTCCCACAGGACAGTCTACCTTGGAATCATCCTGCACTAGCACATGGAGACTGCCTCATTTTGTAACAGCTGCCTGGCGATCTACTTCCAAAAACTCAGCCACTGAAAACCCTACAGTGCACAGTTCCATGCTGACACACATGGGGTCGCCACCAGTCAGAACCGACTGGACAGCAGCTGGTGATACGGCGTCACTGGAACCAGCCTCACCCATTTGGCTATGCGTCTGTGGCTGCGGCTGTGCTATAAGAGCAGACTTGAATTGCTGTGACTGGCACTGTCTGGCCCACAGAGCCAAAAATATGGACCATCTGGGCCTTTACCGAAAACGTCTGCCCACCTCTGACTAGATCAAGATACAAAATGTTCCATCACCCCGGTAGGCATCCTTGTGCCTTCCTCCAGTAACCACTATCTTGACCTCTATCGTCAATGTGAGTTTTAAATATGCTGGTTTGGCAGCGCACTGAGACACAGAAAGGTCAGACTGCTTGCTGTGGGTCACACGGCCAGGAGGTGTCAGAGCAGGGCTGGGAACCCAGGCCACCTTGCTCCTGAGTTCACATTTTTTTAACCAGGATAGAGAGCTGGGCTATCAAGTCCAAGTTCTTCCAGAGATGTACTGTGTGACCTGGGAAAGTTCCTAGCAGTCTCTGGGCCTTGAGTTGGGAAGAAAGCCTGGAGGAGGACCATCCTACCTCAGCTGCTGCCCTAGGGGAGGAGGAAGAGCGCTGCTCACCAGGCTTGATGGGCTGGAAGGAGGCTCCAACGGGCTCTTTTGGGGCGAGCTGTCTGAGTTGGGCCCAAGGTTCAGCTTCTCAACAGAGATGTCACTGCTGCGGAGGGAGGGAGGCATACCTGGGACCCAGCGCCCCGGGAAGCAGGGAGGGGCAGCCAGGAGCCCTGGGCCCTCCCTCTTACCCCATAGGCCGGGCCTCGGGTCCCAACGAGGGCCCTGGGCTGAGCGTGCCTGTGGCCGTGGCACTGGGGATGAACCTCCTGAGCAGCCGTACCCACGTGGCCACGTCGATGTTCATCTGCCTGGCGCGCTGAAACGCCTTCCCTGGGGGACGGGCGGGTGTCACCTCTGCGGCAGTGCCCAGGACCCCAGGCCTCCCCTGTGCTGGCCAACACCCTCACCCTGCTGCTTGGAGAAAATTTTCTTCTGTCTTCGGAGTCGGGGGATCCTCTCGATGACAGGGTTCCGGAAGGTCACCTGGGGAGAGGGGGAGGGGTGAGGACCCCTCACCTGCATCTGAGCACTCCAAGGAGGAATCCTTTAGGAGGATGGGTGTGTGTACCCAAAGGTTTAGGGCGTTCAGATTACTGCGCCATCACATCCAATTCCAGAGCACTCTCGGATATTATTAAGGGGTCATAAAAGCCAATTCACTGCCCAGTGGGTAACTGTCTCAGCTGACAGCTTGGAAGAGCAAGAAGCGGGCAACCAGGAAGGGGTCTGATACATCAAGACTGACATCCAAGTACACGGAGGGATGGACACAGGGGAGCGGTAACTATCGGGAGGAAGTAGGAGAGGAGCTGTTGCATTGGGGTAAATTGTGGACAATGTCATAAGACAAAGTGTATGTGAACTGCTGGATGGAAAGTGAATTTGCTCTGTAAATTTTCACCCAAATCACAATTAAAAAAAAAAAAAAAAAAAGACTGGCATCCAAATCCTGCAAACGGGGGTCCCACGATATCCAGAGCAGTGAGTCCTCAAGTTTGGTCCCCAGCACCACCGTCACCTGGGAATGCATTAAAATTGCATGCTCTCGGCTGTGGTTGGGGATCCCAGTGATCTGGCTCAACAAGTCCTCCAGGTGATGCTGATGCTGGTGTCTACTTACATTTGGAAACCATTGGTCTGGTTGACTTCTCCCAACTCAAGCATATCTTCTAGAAGGTGCCAAAGTTACAGGACTGTTCAATACAGTCTCCACTAGCCACATGTGGCTGTCTAAATTTAAAGAACTACCTGAAATAAAATGATAACTTCAGTGTTCCCCACTGTTGTTGTTAGGTGCCACTGAGTCAGCTCCAACTCACAGCAACTCCACACGCAACAGAACGAGACACTGCCCAGCCCTGCGCCACGCTCACAGTCATTGCCATACCGGAGCCCACTGTGGCAGCTATCTCTTGAGGGTCTTCTTCTTTGGTGCTGACTTTACCAAGCGCAATGTCCTTCTCCAGAGACTGGTCCCTCCTGATAACATGACCTCTGACCTTCCTCCCTTCTAAGGCTACACTTCTTCCATGGCAGATTTATTCATCCTTCTGACAGTCCATGGTATATTCAATATTCTTTGCCAACACCAGAATTCAAATGCATCAATTCTTCTTCAGTCTTCTTTGTTCATTGTCCAGCAAATCTCAAGAATTATATTAAATAAAATATTAACTTCTCTGAACTGTGCTAGGTCTAGTGCTCCCCCTTGAACTGTGGCTAGGTCTATGCGGTAGCACTTTGGTAGAGGCATCAGGATGAGAAAGAATGCTGTGAGTAAACGTCATGGGCTAGCAGAAACACTTCAGAATTTGGCCCCTGGGTCACCCACTGCCATTTCCCACTCAGTTTTGGCCAGTTTTCCCAGCAGAAGAACTCATTCACTGCCCTGCCACCTGGAGTCAGACTGTCTCTCTGCTCATTACTTTCCATGGTCCTCAACTACTGGATCATGTAAGAATTTCTGCACAGAGGTAGGGCTAGAGGACGAGATATAAAGTGGGGCACACGTGTATGTTAGGGGCACATTTAAAGAATTTTCTAGAATTATTTTGGCTAAACAATGAAGTCGGTTCCCTTCTCTGTGCCCGTTTCTTCCTCTGCCAAACGTAACTAATAACAGTTGCTGTTTCAATGGGTTGTTGTGAGAATTACTGAGTGTGTGCCTGTAAAGCACACACCACAGGGCCTGGCTTGTGCTACAAACGGTCAGCTGACGATACTGTTATTACTAAACCTTTCATTCATTATTATTCTAAATAATGTTACTTAGACCAGGGGTCCTCACCCAGGGGACACCTGGCAATGGCTGGAGACGTTTTTTGGTTGCTCCATCTGGGGAGGCAGAGATGCAATGGGCATGTAGTGGGCGGAGGACAGGGCTGTTGCTGAATACAGTGCCCGTGACGGCTCCCACCACAGAGAACGAGCAGTCGCAAATGTCCAGAGCACCGCGGCCGGGAACCTGATTGAGACCTTAACCCCAGGGCCGTTCAGGAAGACTCCTTCTCTCTACCTGACTGCAGTGCTGGTGGCTGTCTCTATGACACGACACCCATTCTTTCTCTGTTGTTTTGTTTCTTCTCGCTTGGTAATTTTTTTTTTTTTTTTTT